GTTAACACATACGTAAAACAATAGGGATTTTACGTAAAATGATAGGGGTTTATACCCATCTTGTCTCTCTTCTTTCTCTATCTTTCTACGGGGGAAGAGGGTGGTGTATTGGGCAAGCGGAAGGTTGAGTGAACGAAGAGCAGGCGGCAATATATTGGGATGTGAAAACCCTAATTTTTGAGCGCGTGCAGCGATGTGTGGATGGTGGCGTGTTTGGCTAGGATTAAACAATGTTGTGTTACAACTAGAGATGATGAAAAAGTTCGACGGCTCAAGCGTTTCGGGCTTGGCCAGAAAAAGCCATAGCGGGCCCCGACTCAGGCTCGGGCTAGCCTGCCCCATTAAAAAAAAATTCAAATTAAGTGCTTGTTTGGTAGGGATTTTTAGGGGAAGAATTGATTTTTGAATAATGATATGATGGGAAATGTGGGGTTGAAAAAGAAGAAAAAATTATTGATGTAATGAAAAATATTATTTTATTGAAAAATGTATGGTTGAAAATGAGAATTGATTTACTGTAGAATTCAATAATCAAAAACAAACACCACCCTTAATTTCATTCTTAGCCCAAAATCTAGGTTTATTTAAGTTTTTATCTTTCCCTTTCCAATTTCACACTTTCATTCGGTAACCACTGAGACACTGATCCCAAATCATTTGATAAATTGAAAACCTACATCTATATGCCCAAATCGAAGCCGCCGATTGCCGAGTCCGACTTCCCCTCTCCAACTGCCCATCGAAGCCGCGACCTCCAATCACGACCACTGATCGTTGACCATTAGAAATCTGTTAAAAAATTTAATTATGGTATAGAACCTAACCGAACCCGAACGGTACCATTTATTAAATACCCGAAAATTTTGATTCAATTCGATTCAAAAAAGATTCAAAAAAGAACCGAATCGGATCGGACCATGTCCAGCCATAGTTCTTACAGAAACAAGAACCATTAAAATCTAACCAAAACTAGACCTTGAAAACATCGTGAAGGCATATATACTTGATAAGTAAATGAAGTACTGATGAAACGGAATCAATTACCAAACTGGAAATGTCTTCTCCACTATCATCTGCCAATTGAGCAAGCGGAAGTTCACCATCATTTGCTTCGATCTTCTCAATTAACTTGGCTGAGTACATTATTACACCAAACCTCAAAGGAAGATTGTTCTCAAACAAGGAAATGATCGTGTCAATGGTCTGCAATACTCCAATAGGTTACAGAGACAAATCAGACACCAATATGAAGCATACACAGAAAACACAGATCATTTACAAAGAACAGATGGAACTTGCCTCTAACCCACAAAGAGATGCAGGATCCAGTATGTAAACTGCATGAAAGATATTTTTACGAATGTAATGCAATTGTCCAGGGAAGACTGGCATCAAAAGCTGCGGAAGCAAGACAAAAGGAATATTAAATAGCGTGTTTTGTGTATAAAACAAGCCATCTTGGCCAACAAAACAGGTATAAACACTGAGAGAGAGAATATATACCTCATTTATATTACTTCGCCAACGCTTGTACATAGCATCCTCTTCCAAATTGTTGATATAGTAAACATGAGGAGATCGAAAATCAACACGAAATATAAAGGACTCAGATGGAGGTACAACTGAAAGGAGTTTCCTCACAGTACTCAAAGGGATCTGAGATTATATTACCATTTATCATTAGCCTTAAGTGATTCAGAAAACATGCCATGAAATTGAACTCAACTATGGAGAAGAATACAAACTCAAAACAATGTCAGTTATGTGAAAATTTACGGATAAATTGTACGTAACAGATGAATCAACTAAAATATATAGATGCAACAATTAACACAAAAATACTACAGTCTCTGACTATTTTCTCGGATGTCTCATAAAGATATCACAACTCTATAATGGAAACACTTCCGCTTTTAGATTTCAAATTTTTCATTAAACTGTTGGTAATTGAAATAGAGTAAAAGCTATGGCAACATTCAAGATAGTCTTAAAACCAACGGTTAAAGGTGGGGCGTAGCTCTGAAACATGAAATTGTGGTGACGAGCTGTCAAGAAAAAAAATTGATTTTATTTAAAATTTGTGCAGAGAGGGGGATCAATGATAAATGAGCTGGAGGAAATACTACACACACAAAAAAAAGTCACACTATTTGTACATTTTCCAATATCCACTACAAAATTTAAAATCAGGATGTTTGATAAAGTTGATAACATTTTAGAACAGTTTATGGATAGTTTAAAGTACATAGGGAAGTCTATGTTATTGTTTTGAGCTTATCAACTTATTTGTTTGGGAGAGGTCTATATATCAAAAAAAAAAAAGTGCTGTGTTAGGAATTTATCCAAAAATATATATTCCTAGGCAATAGATACTAAACCTGAATTACATTCAGATTCAAATCCTTTAACGGTTACCGAAAATATACTGATTTCCTCAAGAATTCTGAATGGATACAGTGGACTTGAATCACACTACTGCTAGCCAGGAAGCTTGCATCCAATGATATAAGGTGATATTTTACACCCACTTCTAGCTTCATTATTTTGGAACTAGACATGTAGTCGTAGATAATGATATGAAGTCTAAACAACTCCATCTGAGCAGCAGACTAACAGATGCAACCCTTAGCAATAATTTAATACATCAGACATTCTTCTCAAGTTATATTAACGTTATGCGAAGAACCTGAAATCTTGCACTTCTACCTTCAATTTTTTTTGATAAGGCTTCTACCTTCAATTTTGAATTTGATTTTATTTATGCAACAGTTTTAGCATTTCATACCTTCAATTTTGAATATTGATCAGCCAACGATAACTCCTGATGGACCATGTCAACCAGCCTATGAAGTTCACAACATGACTACCACGAGTCAGCAATTAGTTTCCTTGAGTGTCAAAGCAAGTGTAAAAAATCCAACTAAGTTTAGAACAAAATTTAAACAACCAAGGTGACACATGACTCAATAAAAATAGCAGGGAATTAAAAATCATGATTAATTAAAGAGTTGACACTGTCCTTTCCTCCCAATTATTGAGCAATCTCATAATCAGCTACTCCTCTTAACATGTATGGTAAATTCACAAGATATCATCATCCTCTTCCTAGAAACAATTTTGGTCTTGCATTTTTGGATACCTCATCATTGGTGCAGATTGAGAGGAAATTCAGCAATGATATACAAACATTAGTAAATAGAGAAAAGAACAAAAGGGAGATTAAAGAGCTTCATTACTAATTCTAGCCCATATTAACCAATAAAAGTTTAAATCCATTTATTGATGAATGATATACACGGAGATCTTTAACATGGGAATAACAAGCAGCTTAGAAATTAGGCACGTGCTGGCACCTAGGAAATATATACACACCATGCCCACCACCATTACGGACATACTCAATTGTATTTCTGGTTTCTCCTCCTCCTAAAACCCATTGGTCACTGCGCTCTCATTTTCACTAAATCATATTCTCATTTTTCACCTTTGACCCCTCTCTCTCTCTCTCAAAAAAAAAATAGAAGAAAAAATCGAGTGTATAACCAAAAAACAGAAGCAAGAACACAAAAGAAAAGAAGAAACACGCTAGGAATAGAAGCATTACAGATAAATGTCAATATCTTCAATATTGATCAAGACACCATTCAATATCTTCAATTGTATTTCTGGTTTCTCCTCCTCCTAAAACCCATTGGTCACTGCACTCTCATTTTCACTAAATCATATTCTCATTTTTCACCTTTGACCCCCCTCTCTCTCTCAAAAAATAGAAGAAAAAATCGAGTGTATAACCAAAAAACAGAAGCAAGAACACAAAAGAAAAGCAGAAACACGCTAGGAATAGAAGCATTACAGATAAATGTCAATATCTTCAATATTGATCAAGGCACCATTCAGAGCCATTAAGGACTTGCCAGGGGGGATCATTCGCTGGTTTGCAATAATTTCATCTTTTATGGAATCATTCAGCTGCAAAAAAGTTAACATGCACATCAAAGATATAAACCTACAAAGTAAATCATATCTACTGGGTATCATGTATCAGCTTTCAGAGCTTACAAAATATAAGCTCTCAAATCACAGTTCATATTAGTAACTGCAGAAAAATATCTTACCTTCATCCGTGATAATGAAGAGACGACACTTGGGAAATTTTGATTGATTTCTTGCATTGATTGCAAAGGATCAGAGGCATGAACTATCCTCTGTGCAGTTTGATGTCCTAAGTCTGCAGTAATGGGTAAAAAATAAGTTAACAGAAATAGTGTAATCTTGTCATGAATTTTCAATGCAACAATAAGAATAATTACCTTTCAATTCCCAAACCTCGAGTGTATCAGAAACTGTAGATGACAAGAGATAATCCCTGAATGCCATTATCTCAGATGTTAGCTCTGGTTTACGCTCCTGCATGAGTTTGCACATATGTGAATTTTCTAATTCTAAATAATTTTTTTCTCCCAAAACATTCTAAGTGACAATAGCCAGAACTTAACTTAGGCTCCTCACCAAGTATTTTAAAATTTTTAATTATGTTACTACACCATGATTCTCAATAAATTTACAGCACTGGAGGCCTAACACAAACTTTTTCTTTCATAGACAAAAATAAAGAAAATTAAGTTCCATGATGAGCAGTGAAAACTATGGCAATGTGCCTAGCTGAAAGGGGGATCACAGTTTGCTTCCAACCATGTTACCATGGAAATCTGCTTTTTATACCAGTTATAGCACTATACAAATAGACATTTCCTTTTTACTTTGGTTAAGTTGGTGCAGCTGAAAACTTGAATTGCTGAATATATCTAGGAAATAAAATTCTATTAGCAGGTGATTTGTGTATGCAGGGGCAACAGAAGATATCAGTGACCTGCTATTTCCTTGTTTCTTACAACTTGTCTTTTTATTGACAGAAAGAAAAAGAGCCAGTCGCAAAGGATCAGATTACATTGAACCTTCCAATAGATGCAGTGATAATTGAATGGAGCGCCGAAAAAGGAGTCATGCAGCCGACCTAAATTTATGGGAATAAGGCTCTATAATATTTCTAATATTGATGATGCTACGTGAAGGCCTTTTACCTTTTTTGAGTTTTTCCCATTTTTATTCTTTCTCTCTACTTTTGTGCGTGTGTGGGTTTTGGTAAGGGGTGGCCAGATGGGGGTAAAGGGCACAAACCAAAATTTTGGAGAATATGAACCCTCTGACTTCTTGGCTGAGATCTTCAGTATGGGGATCTTCGAGGGTTACACCTGCAACAAATATGAAAAGTTTCAGAAGCTGCCCCTTGTCCTAAAGCAGTGTCATATACTTGTATTCAGGGACAGGCATGCTAATATGTCAACCCTCCTCAAACCAAGTAAGGTTCACACTTGAGTGAAATAAGTCATATTGTATTTCACAAGGGAATTGCTCATCATCATTGTTAGATAATCATTTTATTTATGGAAATTCACTTATTCACAATTGTGTTCAAAGTTGTGCAAGTAACATGGATCAATTAAAGATGAAAAGAACAAATGCACAGTACAATTATTTTAAGGAAGCATTCATCATCATCCAAATCATTATTATTTTATTAATGGAACTTCAGACTCATGATTGTGATATTCCTATATTTGAAACTATGAGACATCATATACAGATGCAAAGAGCAAGTACACAGTGAAACATAATTTTAAAAAAGGTATATCATTAGAGACTCCAAACTTTATCTATTCCATACAACCCATTGCCCTAGTAAACACTAGAAATCAAGAAATGTAGGAAACAATCAATAGTCCTACTAAAATGAATACAACTCTTCTTCAAATAGTATAATATTATTCAATTATTACTAGTGTATATATCGTCAATATCAGTTGTCTACAGATATCAAATTATAAAATTATACGTTGTTTTTAGTTTTAAGACAAATAATTTTCCTTCGTTTTTAATAGGACAACAGATTACAGTAGCACTATACTTGCATAATATATAATAAATGATATACTTAGGAAACTTTTCCTCTTCTATATAGAATTTTTAACCAGCCCATGAGCAATGAATAATTTAGAAACTAGGCACATAATAACCGGACATCAAATGTGTAAAACAACATTAAGGCTTTCCAAGGGCAAGAAATATAAGAATTATGTAAGATGCTAAAGTCTCTTCAAAAGACTCAAGATGAAAAACTAGGTACTATGAACTATTCTACACGAGAACAAGGGCACGTTTGGTATAACTTTTGTTTTTGCTTTTGCTTTATGTAGAAGATCTTTTGGAGGAAGCTACCTTAATTTTTGTTTGAAAACTAATTTTTAAAAGAGCTTCATATTCCAGAAGTAAAAGCTCTTCTAAATAAATGAAGCACTTTCATAAAATTAGTCAAACGGACCCTAAATGGATATAAGGATGTAATGTGCAAGGTATCAATCAATTTGGCCTAAAACCAAGATGGATAACAAGTTCTTTCAGTCTGTACAGACTGATAAAAATGGAAAAGGAATATATAGTTGTTTTTTCAAATTGAATGACACTAAGCCCTTGTTTGACACCCATTTTATGGAAGAATTTGATTTGGAATTATGATTGATGGAAGAATGTGTGGTTAAAAAATAAGGAAAATTTTTGGGTTTACGTGTAATATTATTTTATTGATATAATGTGTGGTCGAAATGAAGAAAGAGAAAAAAAAATGGATGTCAAACAAGGGCTAAATTTAATACAAAACTTGAAATTGATAATCATGAGTATTTTAGTAGAAACAGGAATGTAGAACAAGAATAAAGTTAAAGATAACAAAAAATTCCAAAGCAAAGAACATAATATCTATTTGCACATTATATGTTTGTAAGTTTTTGAAAAATTCAACAGTAAACAAGGCTAAGAAACTATAACCTTTCTTTATAGCGGTGTCATCCATGGCCTTGTATTCCATATTCTTCAGAGCAAGCTCCACACCATAACCACCCAAGTTTAGAGGTTCTTCGGCACCAATGGATCCACAGGGGCCACTGTTACATTCGCACCCAGAAGGCAATACAGGTCTAACAGCATACTTGACTTTTCCCTAAAAGTCCGTGAATATTGTCTAATAAATAAGAAGTCTGAAAAAATTTGCTAACTGCAAATGTCTTTCATGATCACAATAAAGAGAGATCAACGTACAATTGCAACTTAAACAATCAAGATAGACATGACCTACTTCAAATGATCCCTACATGAACCCCATTTGGGTCATAACAGATGACATATCAAGTGAGCTGGATCAACAAAGTGACATTTTCCTGAGTAAGTTTGGGAGTTAAGTAATGAGACATGAATCCTTGATGCCAAAACTCAAATTAGAGATATATGGCTTTTTAAGAATATTTGAAGGCTGTCTTTGAAATAATAACAAGGATATGAAATAACAAAACATACTAATATTAAAATAAAATTAAAAACTCCCTTTCTCCTAAATTGACTGTCTATTTTTGCATTTTAAGTAAGTTGAACCAGTGGGGGTGTGTCGTGTCGTGTGCATAATATCCATTGCCAGCTATTCATTGTGTTGAATTCTACCAATAAATTCCAGAAATCCAAAAGCCCACCAATATGTATCCCAAAACCCAACAAAGATAAAGAAATAGTTTCATCGAAATCAAAATAAATTAGAAGCAAGGTATGATATTTGTATTGTACCTTCCTGGCAGCTTCGACCAAGCTAATATGAAATTCCTTAAAACATTTAGTCCCAAGAGCCCCATACAAAATGGCAATGGGACTTCCAGTAGTTGAATCTGGATGGACATGATCAAATTCAAAAATCTCAGGCTGCTGAAAAGTGTCATCAGCCCTGCCAACAAAAACAGTACCATTATAGGAAACAACTTAAACTCAACAGTTCAAATTACTTCTACAAGTATTCGCCAAGAAAGTTTATAAGGATAGCATGGAGCAGGACTTACGCAACATTAGTACTTTGCAGCCACGAGAGCAGTTCTGGTACATCGAAAAACAATGACCCACCAGTATCAATCCAACAACATCTTTTCCCCGGACTTCTTGGGTTCATACCCAAAAGACGGGGTTCAGACTTCTTGATGTTTGTGGTTTCATTCGATTCAGGGATCCCTCCATCAACAGGGTTTGAGCTAATATCATCAGCTAGAGGAAAAGATGAAAGAGATTCCTCCGCTAACTGGCGATAGAGCACTAGTCTCGGAGATGCAGACCGAAGAGTAAGAGAAAATTCAAAAACTGAAGCCAAAGTTTCACCTAATAGAGATTTCCCATATTTGGCAATTTTCCTTATGCAATCTTTCGCAGTATTAGAATCAGTATCTTCATTTATAGACTGATGCCATGATTCAATGAAGTCCCAGAAGTGATCTTTCCATTCCTTAGAAAGCAATTCACTGTAAAACACAGAAATTTAAAAGAGAAGCTCATAAGGAGAAATTAAGGGCAATCAACTAATATGCACTGCCAATATAGAACATAAAACCAGTCAAGACCACATCTTTTGGCTAAGAAATTCGTTTTCTATCAACCAAAATGAAATATGGATATACTAATCAGCAATTGAAGCTAAACTAAACTGTCCAATCCAAGTATTACATCGTCGGAAATTAAAACATAATTATTAACCACTAAGAAAAAGCTCAAATCAGCACAAATTCACGATTCAAGCATATGAAACGAGCAATTGTACATCAATATTTCCTTAAACTAAGTAATATGAAGCTATTATTCAAAAGAAAAGCATACCCTGCTTCTAAAAGTACTGGAGTCCCAGACCACTTGGCTCTAAGAGCTACCTGCACATTCTTAGGCCTGCGGTTCTCCGCAGAAACTGAATGGCTACAAATGCAGATACAGAGAAGTACAAGGATCAAAAGGCAAAACCTAGATCTAAACGGGGTCCCCATAATTGAATTTTGATCGAATTTAGCCTCCATTTATCAAAATTGGTGATCAAAGTATGTCCATATATAAAGAAACAAAAAAAGATTGAATCTTTGATAGATTTTTTCCCGGTGATTCTTTGGAACGGTGTTTTGTTGCAACTGAAAGAGACCAAAGAATGTTGGGTTTTCAGTCGAAAGTTTCGAGTGTAAAACGAGTCTGAACTGTAGCCCGGTGGTAGCGTTCACCTAAGGCTGTGTCCCTGTTCCCTTCGTCGTCAAATGGGTTAGAGGAAATTGTACTAATGATCCTTCATTTATCAGCATTGTGACAACTTGATTCTCACTTTTCAACTTATTTTCTATTCCAACTTCATATTCAACTTTTCAATTTTATAGTACCATTATCAAACTTCCATAAAATTGGTTGGTAATTGATCAAAAGTATTCGTACTTATTTATGGTATCCTTCACGTGCATTACGTATGTTCTTATTATTTAAATTGATGGTAAATTGAGTGGCGATTTCATATCCAGTAGAGTTCCATTCATGAGGGCCTCTCTCTCTAATCGAAGGGGACAAAAACACGAGCAAGTTAGCATTTCTAGGTTGAACATGTTGGTACTCCCATTTTTATTGGCCTTTTTAAAAATGATTGATATGTCATCTAAATGGATGCGATTAACATTAATTACATATCTAATGCAGATTTTTTATAATAAAAGAGTCGATTTTTGGTGAAAATGCGGAGGACCACAAATGAATTGCGCACCATTCTTTTATGGGGCAATGACAATATTTTTGAGTTGTTGGTTCCCTACTCATAATCAATTGTATGGTGAAGATTGAATTATCTTTGAGCATGATCAATTGAAAACAAAAAATAATGGACCTTGCTACATGCACGACAATCTTTAAATAATGATTTACATAATATCATATGTCACTCTATCATTTGTCATTTTAAAAAACAATCAATTTTTTCATCCAATATTTTCACTCCACATCATTTTATGTAATCTCTTATATACCATTTTTATGCACAAGTAGCATAACCCAAAAAATTATATCGCTATACATGTTTACAACAATATGGACACCCACAAGGCGAGGACAAACGTAGAATTGCTAGAATTTGGATATGAACTTGTCATAATTGAAGGGAAACTATATCTGGTTATTTTAATTAAGTCTTTCAATTTTAAACTATCACAATCTGGCAAAAATCTGATTAGTATCTGCATCAAGCAGGGATTAAAAAATAAAAATAAAAATAAAAAACTCACTCATCAGTTATTTATGCTCCACCAATTAAGATATTAAAGACCTAGTTGCAATAAGTTGATAAGTTGGAGACTAAAGCTGCAATTTTTTCCCGGTGAGATCAAAAATAATTTCCGTTACAAGAGTATTTTGGTATTTTCAATAGTACATTAGGGGTAGAGAAGTAAAATTATACGTTTGACCCATATCTATGTCATTTACCTGACGTGACAATATGCTATTGGCAGTTGACTTTTATATGTACACGTAGACCGCAAAGTAACTGTCTGTTTGGTTAGAAAGGAAAATTGAGGTCAGTATGAAAGTGGAACACATAAGCAGTAGAAATATGTATTAAAAATATTACTCTTGATGGCCAAACGTGCTTTATATACCCGCAAGATGTTTGTTGATTTTCCTGTTAGAATTTGTATCTGTATTTTCTTTCAAAATTTAGTCTTGGCAAGCACATCCCAATTCCCTATAGATCTCAATTATGTTCTAACAATCCCATGGGACTCATCTGCCAGCACAAACAATGGAGAAAATTATGATCTTGATGCCTCTAGCAGTTGTTGCCAGACCCTTATTAGCCTCTATGGCATTGGATTTGCCCAACACCTCAAGCAGACGTCTAGATTCTGCCTTCCTGACCTTCCCACTTCCATTTCTTGCCTGCTGATTTCCAAACCCAGCTCAATTCTCTGTCCTTGAAATAAAAATCTCACTCCTATGTGTTTTGAACCTCTCTGACCTCACTGCCCGTGATGCATGTGCTCATGCTGGTTTTCAGGTTCAGGCTCGATTGCTAGCACTTGATGGATATAGTTCTCACTCGAAAGGTTGCTTTTACTATGCGATTCTATATGCTGTTGGAATAGTAAATAAGTTTGGCCATGAAATTGTCGGTGCACTTTCCTACATTTTCAGCCTTCCTTCGCCCATGCAAGTTGTTTCAAGGGGTACAGACGAACATGGCTCTGATAGCTGGATCAGTTGGAGCTGGTTTTGCCATTTCGGTCTTGCTATGCTCAATAGGTTGCTGCATATGGTGGGATGGTTGGAAAAAAGGCATAAGAACGGGTCAATATGGTTCAAGAGGGAAGATCTTGACAGAGCAATCAATATTTTTTCTGCCAAGAATGTCATTGGGAAAGGTCAGTTTGGCGTTGTTTACAAAGGGAAATTATCGACCATGATCGCAGTCAAGAAAATCATAGATTCAGATTTTCTAGGGGACACCGACTTTATCCGGGAAGTCGAGATCATCAGCACTTTGTAAGAACTTGGTTCCTTTCTTGTTATGAAACTGAAGGGAACTTTCTATTTACTTCTGTTTGATGTGAAAATCTAACTATGGGAACACACAATGTAGAGAAAATAATTTATTTTTTATTTTTATTTCCAAATAAACAAATATGACTAATAAAAGCCCCTGGTAAAACGCTTGGCTTCAATTCTTTTCCATCACTCTTTCTTTTGGATAAAATCTTCGTTTTCACACAATCTCTCATTCTTTCCCCCCTCCTCCCTCCCTCCCTCCCTCTCTCTCTCTCTCTCTCTCTCTCTGTTGTCCTTTCATTGGATAAAATCTTCGTTTTCACACAATCTCTCATTCTTTCCCCCCTCCTCCCTCCCTCCCTCCCTCTCTCTCTCTCTCTCTCTCTCTCTCTCTCTCTCTCTCTTCATGGGAGATCCACCAAAATCCCCAACACCTAATTTTTACAGCATTCTTGGAATTTCAAAGACAGCATCCCTTGCAGATATTGGCAAAGCCTACAAATCCCTTGTTATGAAATGGCACCCTGATAGAAATCCTACCAACAAAGACGAAGCTGAATCCAAGTTCAGATCCATCAACGAGGCCTATAGGGTACGCAAACTATTTCATGCATGAATGTTCCCAAATGTATGTATTATTATCTGATTGGTCGACACTAAATTCAATTTCAGGAACTCAGCCTTAAGAAAAGGGAAGAAGCAAATGCAGGAAGTCAAAACAAGACAAAAAAGAAAAAATCAGATGATGAAGAATTGCACATTTCTAGCCCCACACTTCTTTCACGTACCACAAGCCGGATCAGCCCAATGCCAAGTCCACGAGATTTGTCATACAATACAAGCACATCAATGGATTTCTATGCCTCTCTTCCAAAATCTCCAACGGGAGCTAGCAACCTGTCAGCGCCCACTACACCAAAGGAGGCAAACTCTCTCTCGAAAATGGCCAGCCAAAGAACCGCGATGCCTATTATTTTTTCACAATCCACAGCTCGAAGAAAACCACAGCCTATCGAGAAAAAGCTCAAATGCACCCTCGAAGAATTGTGCATTGGATGCGTAAAGAAGATAAAGATCACCAGAAAGGTCATCTCAAACACCGGGTATGTGGATTATGCCTTTCGTTATATGTCCAAATGAAGTTTTTCTTCCTTTTCTTGAACCATTTGGGCTTTTCTCATAGCATGTGAAATTAGGCAATGAATCATGTTCTGTATGTTTTCTAAAATCTATAGCTACTTATCTTTGCATGAATTTCTTTCTTTCTATACAGGTTAATCTTAGAAGAAGAAGAAGAGATACTAATGATAAAAGTGAAACCGGGGTGGAAAAATGGAACAAAGGTCACCTTTGAAGGAAAAGGAGACGAGAGACCAGGAACCCTTCCTGCTGACATAATTTTCGTCATTGATGAAAAAGAACATCCATTGTTTAAACGCGAAGGCGATGATCTGGAGCTAGGAGTCGAGGTCCCTTTGGTTCAGGCCCTTACGGGATGCACAATTTCTGTCCCTCTGTTAGGAGGAGGCGACACGACACTGTCAATAGATGATATAATATACCCTGGATATGAAAAACTCATACCTGGACAAGGCATGCCTAAATCCAAAGAAGATGGTAGGAGAGGAGACCTTTGCCTCAAATTTCTGGTTGAATTACCAACAGAATTGTCCGATGAACAACGCATAGAAGTAGTTAGCATTTTACAAGAATGTTTTTGATCACTGAATTCTCTTTTCTTCATATCTAAAACAGAATTTTGATTGCAGGTTGGTAGAATTATGTACATGCAATATTCCTTTTAGGCAGGTTTATAATGTATTCTGATCTGTATGCATGCATCTCAGAAATATCTAACAGAGAATTTAACAGTGATCTCTGTCATTAAGCCTATCAGAAATTTCTTTGGCATGTCCTTAAGGAAACAGACAATTGATGCTAACACATTGTCAATGTTGTGCCATACTTCAATTGATAGTACCGAGTTCAAAGTGATGTTTTGTATCTCGAAAGCAAATCATTACTCCGTGTGAAACTAAACAACTCGTAACTCAAAACAAATATTATGTATGAAAAAAGAACGAATACATAAATGGATATAAAGCAACCTATCACATTTTATTGTCAATCTGTCTCAAATCAATCCCTTGTTTCCCTACAAACTCCACTAGTCTGATTACAGGAATCTCATTTTGATATTTCTGCACAATAAAAGTTACCTATACTGTATAGTTTGGCATACATTTATGGTTTGTCTCGCCTTGAAAGACAAATGGAATGCACAATTCTCGGCAGAACAGCCACTTGAAGGGCCATTGGGCAACTGAACCAGAAGAATATACTAAAAGTCTTTGTGCCGAGAGCATTATGATGGAAGAATATACTGTGTAGTTTGGCATACATTTATCGTTTACAATATATGAAGAAGTTTCGAGACATGCAGTGATTATGGGAAACAAAGCGCCTTGCAAAATTGTCAGAGGAGGAACAGTCAGGATTAGAATGTTTGATGGCTCTATTAGAACACTTACAAATGTAAAGCACGTTCCAGACCTGAAGTGGAATCTCATATGTTTGATTGCACTTGACTCAAAAGAATATATTTTGCAAGGTTCCACAGTGATAGGGGATGTTGTAGTTTCTACTTCTTCTTTGAAAGATGAAGAAATTACAAAAATTTGGCAAATGCGACTCGGGCATATAAGTGAGAATAGTATGGCAGAGTTAAGTAGGAAATGACTTCTTGATGGACAGAAGACCAATAAGATATTTTTTTTGTGAGCATTTTGTCATTGAAAAATAGAAAAGAGTCAAATTCACTAAAAGAATACACAACACGAAGGGAACACTTGAATATATCCATTCAAATCTTTGAGGACCGGCCGGGGACTTTAAAAAGAGATGCTTATTATTTGTTGACAATGATTGATGATTTCTCCAGGATAGTTAGAGTATTCTTCTTAAAGTTGAATTGTAGTGTGTTTGGGACCTTCAAGAAATGGAAACAATGATAGAAAAGCAAATTTGAAAGCAGATTAAACATCTACACACGGATAATGGGTTTGGAGTTTTGTTCAAATAAATTCAATAGTTTTTGCAGGGCATAAGGAATCTTGAGATAGCCTGAAACTCCTCAAAAGAATGGTGCGGCATAACGGATGAATAGAATTTTGATGGAAAAAGTTCGTTGCATGCTTTTAAATTTTTGGTTGCCTGAGACTTTTTGGACTGAAACTGTTACTATAGCTTGTTTTCTGATTAATCACTTACCCTGAGCTTCCAATGAGAAAAAGACACAAGAATAGGTATGGTCTAGTAAGCTTTCTTATTATTCTGATTTGGATCATAGAATTAGTAAATACATGACAAATCCTGGTAAGGAATCTTGAAAAGCAGTGCAATGGATATTCAGATATTTGAGGGGCTCTTCTAATGCTTGTTTGCATATTTGGTAGAGATACAGATTGAGTCATTAGATATATGGATTCAAATTATTGAGGAAATCTTGATAAGAGGAAATGATTTATAAGGTATGTGTTTACATGGACATTACAGAGGCTATGTGGTTGAGAGATATTCTTCTTCCTGCTATTCTCAATACGACAAAGAAATTCCTCGTTTTGGAGCTTATGAAACGACGTCAGACTGACTACTGAGGGAGCGCCATAATATTGTTGCTCTGCAAGTACTGTAGCAGTAGATGGAAGGAAGACGGTAGCTCAAGACATCTATGCGTTCGTTGCCGTTAATGAACCTGGGGTTTGTTTATCATTTTCATTAGCCCAAGACACAGATTCAACTTACTGGGCACTATTTGTAGCGAGTTATAGGAAAAAATTTACAACTCAGGCTTTATCTATCTCAAAATCAAAAATTAGGTTTCAAGGTTTAGAATTGTAAAAATCAGGTTTTTCATAAATTAATTAATTATATTTCACAATTATTATATTATATTAAATATATCATAAAAAACTACTGAAAAAAAAACTGATTTTAATCTCTACCAAACATTGGCTAAATGATAAGTCCAATTAAATATGTTGTTATGTAATTCATTTAATTGGAATTTGGTACTCCATTAATTTTGCCAAAATTTATTCTTGATTTATAATATATGGAACCATTCCACAGTTACAGCCTTGGTTGACAGTTTTTTTCACAAGAAAAAAATTCATGGGTCAGGTATTTACTTTCACGAAATCACAAATCAGGCCCGAACGTTTAGATTTTCAAAAATCAGGTTTTTCATAAATTAATTAATTATACTTCACAATTATTATATTAAATTAAATATTAAACTGTAATATAATATAATTAACCCATCTCACTGCCACCTCTACTCCGACGACTACTCCGGTGACCGGCGACCACTTCGGCAACTTTTTCGAGGTCACAGATCAAAAATTTTGTAGGTCACGGATTATTTCGAGATCATAGATAAAAATTTTTGTAGGTCACGTATTATTTCCAGATCACAGATAAAAAAATTTGTAGGTCACAGATCTAAAATTTTATAGGTCACATATTATTTCGAGATCACAAATCAAGAAATTATAGGTCACAAGTTATTTTTTTAGTTACAAATTATCAATTTTAAACTAGGTTACAGACACCAAAAAGAACCACCACCACTGTTGACCCGCCACGGCAATAACAAAAAACGACAACTACCACACGGATCACCATCACCAATCCGCGATATTTTCCAAAACCAAACCCCATCTTCGCGACGGCTGCCACCAGATCCACCGCCCACGACAAACAGTGGGTCACATACATCAACACCACCTCCACCGCATTGACACTAGATTCCTATGCTAAAGCATAAGCTACTACAATAGTCAAACAAGACTCTAAAACAGACCAAAAAAGTAAAAACCAAACTTGCCCCAAACTAACACCAACCAAAACCTCAACCACGAATTCGGCAGTGGGCATGAACGATAGACTACAAGAATCGAATCTGGGATGGGCAAGAATGTAGACTACAAGATTCCCGGCGATAAAATCCGACCTATTGACCTGGGTCTGGACAGAACTCGTCGAAAACTGAAGCCCATCCATCCGGGCAGGCCGAAACACCCCCACACCCAAACAACCAATAGGGAAGGAGGGGGAGGGAGGAGGAGGAGGAGGAGGAGGGAAGAGGTGGCAGGCGGTGGTAGGGGGAGGATGGAGAGAACGGCGTTGTGGAGAGAGGTGAGAGAATGGAGAGAAATTGATAGATTTAGGGTTTGAATAGACAAAAATAAATAAAAACCTGAAAAGTGGAAAAATAAAGTAAAAACCTGATTTTTTAAAACGTGAAATTAAACACCTGATTTATGGTAATTTCCAGTAGGCAAAGAAAAGGACCAGAAGGTTGGCACACGTGGCATCCATTACACAATTTGCTGTGAAATTTCCTTTGGATATTTGATTAAGCGAATTAGATAGCGTAGAGAGAATTGACAAGGAAAGAAAAAAAAAATTGTGTATATTTTACTATTCAAAAATTTGTTAAATAATAATTATTTATTTTTAGAAAGTCAAAAGACTTAGTCCGGGGTTTAAAATCAGATTTTTAATAGATTTTGATAAAAATTGACGAATTATGTGGTTGTAAAATTATGAATCCCACAAAATATATAATTAAAATTAATTATTGAATTTGATTTAAATTAAAATCTAAATTTTAATTCTTACCAAACACGGACTTAATTTTGGTGCAACTGTTGTTACTTCTTTAACATATTCCTATTTTCTTGTGACAGTGGCAGATTTTTTGTAAGTTCAATTGAACCCGTTGGGTATAAATAGCCCACTTCCCATCAGATTTCTATTCTCATTGATTTCATAGCCTTCCTCTTGAAGCTGACCAGATATTCCCAACCTTTGTAGTAGTCCCAAACGATTTATCAAAGTTAGAGAATATATACTTATCTTCACACATGATTGCTGCACCCAAAATCCAAATACCCCAAATTTGAGTAGGTTTACAAAGCAGCGAACTCGCTCGAGTTTGTGGTATTTGATTCTGACTGCAACAATCATATACGTGGACATACATCTCAAATCAATGAATCGTTTACAATTACAATAAACTTTGGAGATATCTCGATAATTTTTCTACGTGTATCAATTCAAACGAAATATGTCAATATGAAATCTTAATTATCATGATTTATATAGTCCTCTGAATGCATTCTTTTATATACTCATTTGTGGTTACCGAGTTACAAACAATTTTTACATTATCTCAATTTGTACTTCTTATTCTATCATTAGTCGATTCGATACTCGAGATTCTCTTATTCTGACGCAAAGATATAAAGAGTTATCTTGATGAATCAATGAATTGAAATAATTTCTTAATGTTGAAAACTAAGAGCAATATTATTGGTTCATTTTTTTATTTTTTGTGAATGCATTCAAGCAGTCTGATTTTAGAATTTTAACAAAAATTGAAATATATAGTTAATAATGCAGGAAGAACAATTTGTGAATTGCTTAATAAAAATTTCCACCTAGATGGATTAAAGTTTTTAAAAGATTCTCTAAATATAAAATACTCTTTATTTTAGAAAATAAATACTTAAAAATAAACTTCAAGTAAACCTCTATTTTAACTTTTTAAGCTTTTTGTAAAAACATGTATACACTCCAATGATGCTCTTCATTTTAACTCTTCTTTTAGCTTTTTCAAGAAATATCTATTAGTCTCTGTTTGAGTCACATTAAA